GGGGGCAATATGCTGACTCTCTGTAAACCGCTTAGAGAGGGCTGAAAGCCCTATGAAGCGGTATATAAGTCTACTGCTATTGCTATTGCTATGATTGTGAGCTAAATAAAATAGAGAAAACTGGTGCCATTGAATAATGAGGTTTGTGTGGAAACGCATATTGGTGTTGTGCGAAGCAATTATCCTGCAGTTTTCCTGCCTATTCCTGCTTAGTTTGGTGAAAGAGAAATCAAATGGAAAAAGAAATGTGGAAAAATACTCAGGAAGTAACAGCCGTGTTCCAATTTAGCTATAAGAAGGTGCAGCATATATATATCATCATTTAGTCAAATGGTTTCCCACATTTGCATTAAACTGTGAAGGAAGATATTCCTCCAAGTGAAGCGACCCCTTTTTTTATTTAAAAAAAATGCCCTTAAGCTTAAATATGTAAAAGTTCTTTCAATAAAGATTGAAGAAACGGACCCAGAGAATGCCATAAAACTTGCTTTTCTAAAGGTTATTAATATTTGAAAAACAGTAAAAAAAAAATCCCAAAGGTGATTAAGAAATTAGGCTTAGCGGAATATTGTGTTCATAAAGGCTACATTACAATTATGAGCTTCATTGGAATATCTCAACTCCCAGCTGCTGCGCAAAAACCTCAGTTCCTACAGTGTACTTATGAGGAGAAGCAGTATGGAGGACATGTGATCAATCTCACAATTTCTCCTTTCCGTAGAGTGATTTTTGCCAGCCAAGATGCACCCTCTGACCACCGATTTCACTGTAAAGTTGTCCCCACTCCTTCAGGGATGTGTAGTTTACCAAGTCCTCACCAGAATTCTCCAGAAATAACAGTTTGGTGAGCTCTCTAGAATGCATTTCTCGTGAGAACTTTGCATTATTTAAACGAATGGTTTGGCCCCATCCTAAGGTATCTATATACAACAGTCACAAATAAGCACAAATGTACGGCAGCTGAAAGAAAATAGCCTCTTGGGAAACGTAGTAACACAATAGCTCAATTTTATTTTTCATATCCCAAATAATCACCATATTTAGGAATAAGAAATATTTTTTTTCACCAGATAAAAATGGTAATTGATCCCATATTCTGCCACTATATTGTGGGATGTTCATTAATTTCATTCACCTAAAACAGTTTTATTAATATTCCTCCTATGTGTTGGTTTGTGATTTGCGCATGGAAGGGTCTGTGCATGGAAGGAGTTTTCCCTTGTCTATGGATGCTGCATTAACTCTGCAGTACCTAGACTACCCTTCTGTAATTTGGTGCTAACCAAATGTGCTGGGTTTGCAATTCCTTAGACTTCTTAGCTGTTTTGGGAAGCTGGTATAAATTGAAGCCCGTTGTGCCTAATATGAATAATTTCTTTATCTGGGACACTGTATTTGATTTCATGCCCATTCCACCTGTGGAAATTAATATTAATATTAATTAATATTAATATTAATTAATATTAATATTAATAGCAATAGCACTTAGACTTATATACCACTTGACAGTGTTTTCCAGCTCTCTCTAAGCAGTTTACAGAGTCAGCCTATTGCCCCCAACAATCTGGGTTTTACCCACCTTGGAAGGATGGAAGGCTGAGTCAACCTTGAGCCTGGTGAGANCACCAAAGGTGATTCCTATTTTTCTACTTGCATTTTTACATGCTTTCGAACTGCTAGGTTGGCAGAAGCTGGGACAAGTAACGGGAGCTCACTCTGTTATGCTGCACTAGGGATTCGAACCACTGAACTGCTGACCTTTCTGACCGACAAGCTCAGGGTCGTACTGAGCCTGATATATAGAACGACAAAAGCAGTGTCCTTGTGAGTTGGGGGCTCATTTGGTTATCCTGCATAAATTATAGCATGGTTATAAAATAGTCCTCTTCTTTACATTTCCCCTTTTAATAAATAATCTACGTGTTCATTTATTGTATGCAAACCCATTTGCACAGGGCTCCTTTGATCTCCTTGTTTCTTAGAGAGTAAATACATGGGTTCAAAAGAGCAGATAACACATTGTAAAAGAGAGAAAACTTCTTGTCTCTTTCTGGCTTATAGCTGGAAGCTGGGCGCATGTACATGAACATGGCAGCACCGTAGAAGAGAGTCACCACTGTAATGTGTGAGGTGCAGGTGGAGAAAGCTTTGAACTTCCCTTCTGCCGAGCGGATCTTCAGGATAGCACTCAAGATGAACATGTAAGAGGTCGCAATCAAAGAAAGTGGGGTCATGAGCAAGATCACCCCCAACACAAAGTCCACCACCTCATTGACGCGTGTGTCAGCACAAGCTAATTTCAAGATAGCTGGCACTTCACAAAAGAAGTGGTTGATCTCGTTTGGGCCGCAATAAGGCAAGCGCATCGTGAAGCCGGTGTGCATCATGGCAAAGAGGAAGCCACAGGCCCAGGACCCGACGACCATCTTAACACAAACCGACTTGCTCATCATGCTAGAGTAGTGTAATGGGTGGCAGATGGCTACATACCGATCGTAAGCCATCACGGCGTAGAGAACGCATTCAGTTATCCCCAAAGACAGGAAGATGTACATTTGAGCAGTACAGCCAACAAAGGAGATGGTTTTACTCTTTACAAGGAGATGTATTAACATCTGGGGCATTGTGGTAGAACTATAACTGATGTCCAAGAAAGATAGATTGGCCAAGAAGAAGTACATGGGCGTGTGGAGACGAGAGTCTATTCTGATGAGGTTGATAATGAGGCCGTTGCCTAGGAGAATCATCAAATACAGGATGAGGAAGAGAGCAAAAAGGAACCGTTGTGTTTGCAGCTTGGTTGAGAAACCCAGAAGGATGAATTCAGAGACAGAACTTTTATTTTCCCATAGGATATTGTTTGCCATATTCACCTAAGGTAAAAAAAGAAGGGGGTTTAATTTTTTTTTTAAAAAAAAAAT